TGTTCCTCACAAATAGTTGCACTTTTAATTTGAATTGCTTATTTATAATGATCACAAAAGTTAAGAACTGTCAATAAGAAAGGTTGCAAAAATAAATTAGTGGTATGCTATAAACATGGAGAAAATAAAATAGATAAAGTAGTTTAGATAGGACTAAAGTGCAAGTGCTGCTGTAGGATGTATTTTTGGGGAGGGGCTGAGTGAGATAAGGATAACTGTGGCATGCATTGCCATCTGAGGGCCTTCTGACCAAGCCGCGTGGATGGTTTAGGAGTGGGTATCCTAATGAGATTTTTTTTTTCAAATAGGACCTCTGGATATCCAGAAATGGTGCTCTCTCCGACTTTATTTGATAAAGTACAATTAAGATCTATAAACTCACATCAGTAAACACACATTTCATTTCATTAGGCCTACTTTTTTTTTTTTTGGTCCGACTGCCCAACAAACTCTGGTCGTCGGAGGGCTTGACATGTCCCATGGGGGTCTACACCACCATTCCCCCCCCCCCCCCGACACGGCTGCCGCCGCCTGGTGTTATATTTAAATTTAACATGACACTAAGGAAAAGGTAAGAAGCTAGGATTTGTACACTATAGGCCTAAATACATAGTAGTTTGGCCTAGCCCCCCAGGCCTACATCTGTCCTGGCTAGCTAGTTAGGCGGGCCTAGGGCCTACCTAAATACAGAAATTGTAAATATTTGTCAGGCTCAGAAGCACGATCAACACTGTTTGGTCCCGGGGTCTGTCTTCCTCAGTTTATTGAATTGACCCATTCGGATCTCTCATTTTTCTTCTAATTTTGACGTCTTCCACAGCATCCTCGACATCACCGTAGCTATGTTGACGTCGTTCCACTTGGTTGCTTCCTTTGACCCCGACGCTTTGTTCCCCGGACGCGATGTGAACGCACAACCGGAAATCGTAACCGGGCCCGGATTCCGGTCTGGACTCCGGACCGGAATCCGGGCTTGATGTGAACGTAGCTTTAATCAGATACAGATTGTATGATACAGGATAGTTTTATTGTTTATATGCAAGTTAATGTCACAACAATTTTCAGGCATATCTTCTTGATTCCCTAAAAGTGAGGGGGACCAACCCTTTCCCCTTAAAGATATGTGGGGAGACGTGTTCCCCAGTGATCTGCGCCCATGGGTCCGTGAAGAGTCCACTTCACCTCAGCCGGAACATGATTGGAGCTGAGGCGCGAAAATTTTGAGAATATCGAGCTTTGGGTGCCAAGAAATTGCACTCATACCTTTATATTCTTACTAATAATTCATATCAACAATATAATACAACAATTATTTTTCTTAATAGAATTTAGGGAGTGCGACCGCACCCTCTGCTGGGGTCTGAATATGCTGGGGTCTGAATATATAGCATTCCTTACTCTTAACTAGGAGTCTGTGATTCAAAGGATCATGGGAGTTAAATTTTAAAAGTGCACTCTATAGCTAGTGATTTCTTGCAAGCATCAAATATTTTAGAAATTAGCTTCTGAAGTCATTTACAATGGAAAGCCAAATAATCTGGTTTTTCGGATTTTTTTACTTCATTAGGAACAGTATACATTCTGAAAACAGAAAGTTTGAAAATTTAGATAATATTACTGTAATTGCTGTAAGTACTGTATATATAAATCTAAATTACAGTTCTAAACATAAATTCCTGTTTAATTCCTACCATTTAGTTTTTAGGTGGATTTGATTCAAGTACAAAATAATATGGAATTTCACCAACAGCCCTATTGTCATTTTGTTGTCTTAATTTCTTGTTTTCATTGATATATATGGTGCCCTGTTCATTCCTTTCTTCACCTCCCATAATTTCATTGATCTCCTTATTGTAGACTTCTGCATTACTCTCGGTTACAGAGTTGGTAATGGAATAGTGGTTTTCAGGATGCTCTGCAGTATCCTCAATTGTATAGTACATCTCCTCATCTGCTCTGATCTGTGGGATGTCTGAAGTGCCACTCCTCTCAATACATCTTTGATGTTCTTTTGATTGTTGATGTTTGTAATGTTTATTCTTTAGGCAATAAATCAAGATAAGTACAACAAGGAAAAGTATGGTGCTTGTCACTGCCAGTATCATTAATGCTACCTTGTGACTGCTCTTTTCTTTATTTTCATTGACATTGTTTAGTTGATGTACTGTATTGTCCATTTGAGATGTGAAAGGCAGAAATGAAATTATACCTGTTGGCATGGCATATGTGATGCCCTTTGCCTGCAGAGTTGTACTTGTATCCGTTAGCTTGACATCTTTGACAGTGAATTTTATAAAATCTGATACATTCTGAGCATCTGTACTCACTAGACACTTGATACTGTATTTACCAACTTGTAATTTGTTAATACATCTAATTTTGTCATGGTTAGCATTTTTATTGGTAAATTTCTTTCCATTTATAGTCCATTTGTAAACATGCTCACTGGATCCACCACCAGAATAACATATAAAGCAGTGCTTATCAAGAGTATTTTTCC